TAGAGTATTTATTAAGTAGTATTTTACATAAAAAATGTTCTAATCTTTCCCTAGCGTTTTCTAATCTATAGTTTGAAGATATTTTACTACTATGGTCTGTTCCAGGAAACAATGCCGTACCAATGACAACCTTTGCACTTCTGCTCTTTGATATCGTTTGTTTCCCATAAAGTTTTGCTTGTTGGCCACTCTCTCTATCTCTCTATCTCTCTCTCTCCCCCCCTCTCTCTCTCTCTCTCTCTCTCTCTCTCTCTCTCTCTCTCTCGCTGGCAATATAATTCCTTACATAGAGGAACCCCTGTGACAAAGGAATAAATGAAAAATAATCACGCACGGAGTGAAATAAGCTCGATGCATGTCAAATGACTAAATTGCGAGTGAGACAATTTATCGATTCCTTAGATTCATACATTTTCGTTCCATTCGTACACGTGGAAACGCGTTAGATATTTTATGTAATTATTCTGCTTCGTTACAATTGTCATCGATAATTAAATATTAGCTATGCCGTGATAATAATGCCATGATAATTATAAACATTTTTATATTATACATGTTGATCGAATATAATATATTTCTCAGTTTATCAACATTTTTTAAATGTACATTATGTAATTTCCATTATGTAGGTCCGCTCAAGGTCATTGACACAACTTGACGTCCTTGGAAGTAGCATGTTAGATGCAAGCGAACATGATTTGGGCAGCGGAGCCTCGATGCAACAACACCAGCAAAGTCCGCAACAGTCATCCCATTATTCTTACAATTTTGGAGAATGTAGCCCACGATTTCTCGTGCCGAGTGCGGCTTCCAATGACGTCAGGCCCAACAGAACCAAGCATAAATTATCAAGGTCCCAGGTCAGTTTATCATGATCATCAACTTGATATTTCATATTTTATCATTGAATAATTAAAGAATAAATATATTGATAAAAGCACAATACAAGTCAAGTATTTATTGCTATAATACATGGCCTTAAATTTATCGTCGTTACATTTAATTTATATAATATATCTGTGTATATATCGGTAGACTAATTATTAATCCACGATCCAAATATTGAAATATTGAAATATTGAATAATAATTATTGATATCAAAAACGTCAAGTGCATGGTTTTCAATAATATTATAATAGTTTGCACTAAAAACAGCTAACAGCGCAGACTCCTGTATCAACCTTTTATATCATTTTGTAAATTCACAACACGAATATTTATTATTGTTCTCCCCCTTAGTCATCTAATTCATTTAATTATTTTTAAATTTTGTCCATATAAAATATAATATATAATTTTATTAAGGGCATTCTAATCATTAATACATACTTATATTTATTGCATATTTCGATATTAAATAAAATAGTATTCTTTTATGTAATTTTTTACGGGCAACGACTGCCATATCCGCCTATCTTTTTAATTTATAAACACATATTATTGAAGTTGATATTACTTATTTCACTATTATTTATATCTGATGACTTGCGTTTTCTCCTACTTGCTAATAAAAAAAAATTCTTTCATAAATTTATATTGGATATATTTAAATACAGATTTTCATGGTAACTAATACTATAAACATTTAAACATTCAAGATTAATCTTTTATCTTAAAATAATAATAAATTTGACTGATCAAATGACTATATAAATTAAGAGTATAACAATAAAATTATACAGCAATAAAATTATGTTGTTAATTTAAATTTTACTAATATTTTATAATTTTATTAATAATTTTTATACATAGTAATTTTATGATATGAATCAAAAATTTATCAAAAATTTATGATTATAAAAAGATATAAAACTAATTCTAGTAAATAATGTGACACAAGTTCTACAAAAATTTTATGATTGAAAATATAAACGATTATTTATTACATTTCAGGTGTCCAGTAGTGAATACTTCAGTGTTAGTTTTGAAATAGGTGACGACGTATGTATTTTAGACCGTGAAGAATTTTTACCTGCTACAAAAGGAACATATCTTGCGTAAGTGTCTCTCTCTCTCTCTCTCTCTCTTTCTCTTTGACTAACTAATATTTAACGAACTTTTTATAAAAGTTGTTCTAGTGTAATGAATTTTCTTAAAGTATTATCAATTCTATTATAAAATAATTGAGATAAATGTATTAAATATGTTTTATAAATTATATTAAAAGTATGATATAACAATGCTTAATTTGTTCATTAGTAGTTTTGTATGATTAAAATTGCATAAGTAACATTATATTTTGAATTGATTTGAAAATTATAAAAATTTCAGTCATACTAACAACTTTTTAACAATTTTAATTGCACGTTTTAAAATAAATCTTTATATCATTAATTTACATGAATAATATTAAAAATTCTCGTGTAATTGAAATTAAGTTAATAGGCTACATTCATGTGTAAGGAAGCCTGTCATACATCAAATGCCGAGCTGAATTTTCTTTAGTAACATTAATACTTCTTGACTAAAAATATATTGCCCTTCGAAAAGATATATTATCCCATTATCGTTACCTATGTACACTTTCTTATAGTACATTGTTTAGATACTTTCACTGTAATGTCAAAATACGTATATATTAAACTATAATTTATAATTAGTCAATGTTTTTTTACCGAATATTTGCTTTTCACGACAAGCTCATACGTAAATAAATAAATAAATTAATTAGCCCAATAAATACATCGAAACATATATTGATTAATTAATTTTCATATTTTTACATAATTTGACTATAATATGTGTTAAAAAGAAGTTTGAATTTAAAATTATTTTTTATATTAATTTTTGTTTTGAAGCTCCCAAGCTCTCTCTCTCTCTCTCTCTCTCTCACTCTCACATACACTCTCTTACCATACATGTATATCATTTTCTCAATTTTACTGTTTTTCACCTACATTCTTATTCTTTTTTAATCCGTTGTCTAACTATAAACTTGTCAATTTCTACTTTCGTTCTTTAACATAAATAAATATTTATATCATTGCAAACGACTTGATGCTTGAAATGAAGATAACCATTTTAATATCCGCTTCATCCATAACACTCACTATCTTGTTTCCTTATTTACAATAAATACATGTTTAATAAAAATATGTATTTATACGGAACAGACATTGATTTAAAATATAAGATTAATTCTCTACATTACTGAATATTTATTTTTGGTAATCACAAAGAAATTTCAATATTACATAGAAAAAATAATTTCATTTAAGTTTTAAATCAGCGGAAAGGAATTACAGAATTGTAGAATATAACAGTTGTATGACAATGAAATAAAACTCTTCATAACAACTTAAGGATTACATGTCACAATTAAAGGCATAATCATTAAATTTTCAGATATGTGTGCAATTAAAATAAATATAAACTTATTTATTATTATAATAAAATCCAATTTAATACTAGCAAAATAAATTATTGTATTATTAAAATTTATAATTACATGTATTGTTTGAATGTTTTGTATGTTTAATCTATTTGAATTTATGGATTAAACGTTATTATGAAACTTTTTCGGTTAATTAGCTACTCAAATTTTTTTACATGTTATATTCCTTTTTATTTTTAAATACAGAAATAGAATTATTGCTTTTAGTCAATTGAAATAAATCTATATTTAAAATTTTATATTATCTCTGATAACGCAGTCCTTATAAAATTATATTTTTACAATTCGTCCCAGTCGTATTGTAACAGTTTCAAAGGATTGCATACTACGTATAATATTTATAATTCTTCATGTTTGGAAAAATTTTAATACATTTAATTTAATTTGCGTCAATTGAATATATCTATTCATATTTAAATATCCCATATCATATTTAAATAATATTTAAATAAATATTATTCTGTTATGTTAAAATTAAATGTAATATATTTAATGATCATTAAAGTTTTTAATTACAATTTTCTATACATTGGTATATATAATTATAATGTAAATTAATATAATGTATAAATGACATTTATGCACACATTTTATGTTTTTTACTATATATTATATTTTAATATTTATTCTTTAATTTAATATTTAATAGAATTTTTTAATTCTTTACATATTTATTATAGCAATATATTAATAGTGCACACGATCTAAATTTTAAGATGTCTTCCTTTAGGAGGAAAATAAATGGAATGGTATATATTCTTATACTTCGTAACTCTATCTTAACTTTCTGAACCCATATAATAGCTGTGCACTTTTCGAAAACCATTAAAAATATATGGCAATTACTCGTGCAATACTCTTTCATATATTGAAACGCATAAGAAATATAATATTAACTCGTATTTATCGACAAGAAAAAACACTTGAAGAACAAAAAATAGTTTACTATCGACAGCCAGTTAAAAGAATAATATATTGTATAAGTATAATCAATTAATAAAATACTCGTTTAGAAATTACTTAATTGATGATCATATTTTATAAATTATTAATGTTAGCACTGATTAAATATACTATATTTTTTTTTTTGTAACTTCGTCAAAAAATGTTTATGAGCATCCATCTAGCGAATACACTGTCAAAAATTTAAACACGATTGGATTGTATAATGTCTCGTTATTGCACGTAGAAGGTTGAGTCTTAGTTTTATCTTAATCAATTAAATACTGATTTTTTTTCTAAAATATGTATTCGATTATTGATCTAGTCGCCTTTATGTATTTATGTAATATATTTTTTTTTTATAGATATAGAAGTTTTAATAATTTTAATAAAAATTCAACAATGTTTGTCCCGTACAATCTAATATAAAATTAAATGAAATATATCAATTTAATTTCAAAATTCATAAACCCATAATTATACACATTCATTATCCAATTAATTTAATTGGATTTATTTAACCAATATCTCTAGCATAGATATATTTATTTATGAATTTAAATACTGAAAATATTATTAAGTAAACCTTCCACTCCTTTGATAAAAAAATAGTACTTAATGCATAAAAAATATGAAATACATAACCAACCGAATTTTATTATTTACCATTCTTTTGCATTAAAGATAAAATGTGACATTGATTACAATTTCATATACAACCGAAGAGAGAGAGAGAGAGAGAGTAAAGTTTCGAAATATAAGACAATATTATTTTTAATGAGTTTTAAAAATCTGGAAACATACAAGAATCATATGAAACCCCATTGAAAAATTCATAGGAGTTGAAAAAGTGCCGATCCGTAAAAAGTAACTATGCTATCAGGAAAAATTTTTAAAATTGTGTTCTTCAGTAGTGATACTAAATTATAGGAATAGTGAAAACGAGAAGCAGAGATTAAATTTTTCTTTCTATTAAAAACCTGCATATTAAATTTATTAAACATGTTTTTATAAAATGTTCACTTGTAGTAAATGACAGTGATTTCAGATTTCGCAATAATTATCGTAAATGAACTTAAACAACTTTTATTGTGATATATTAATATTTTCTAAACACAGGTTAATCAGAAATTTGTTATTCTTAGTAATTTATAAAATTAAACGATATATTATTGATTCAAGTCTCATTTTTCTATTATATTTATATTAATATATATATATATATATATATATATATATATATATATATATATATTAATTAATTTTTGCTTGAGTATCAATTACCAGATTAAGATTGTATTTGTTGGAAAAATTATGATATTGTCATTTACAAAAAAAAACTTATTTAATAGACAGTTGTATTTTAAATAGAAAATGGGCCGCTTAGTTATCAATCAGCGTTAATAATCAAGTTTTTAAATTTCTTTTAAATGCAGTTATTTATTTATTTTAAATTTTTAAATTAAAAATCGATTATCATGCGTATATGAGACAAATATTTATTTGATCATATTTTAAATATGAGCTTGATTATTTTTTTTACTGGTATAGTCATAAATATAGTTATTAATTGATTAAAAAATTAACGAAGAATCATTATTGTTTTAATTAAAGCGTTCATCGTACGCTATTATAAAAATTTATATAACGAATTACATTTTTAAATTTTAGAAATAATATTTATGAAATTATGAACAAAATATGTTATTTATTTAAGCAGATTTAAAAAATTAATCAAAAAGAAGCAAATAGTGGTGAAGGCATCTGCAGGATGAAACTATTAAACCAATGAAACGATTAAATCAAATATATGAGTTAAACAGAAAATAAAAATATAAAAGCAACGATATTTGAAAAAAAAAATTTTTATTTTAGTCGATAAATCAAAAACGGGGCGACATGTCTAACAAAAGATCCCGGATATCACAAAAGATGATCTATTGTTTTATAATGTTTCTAAAAATTCAATAAACATAAAATCGGTGATCCGATGCAATGCTGAACTAAATGTCTAATCAATAATACTTGAATAGAACCATGAACTTTAATCTAGAATTTTCTATTCAATATACATTTTCTTAACATCGATATTGCTATTTATTTATTATACAAATTAGAGGATAAACATCTCCTTCCGATTCTATACGTATTTTCACATTTTTTTCATCGCAAATATTCTTAGAAGGATCAAAGATTCGTCATATCGAAAAACTATATAGAAAAACAAATTTACTTTGTCGTATATTCGAAAAATACAAGCCGAACAGCGCCGGTTACAAAAACTTGACAACATGTTTATTTTTATAATTTGAGTATTGAAGGCCTATTAGTGCTGCATTTAATTTCAAAATGCATTTTGAATAGAATAAGCCATTTATTTATATTTATTTCATTATATTATGTTTTAAATACCCAATAATTATTGAATAATGTATCTTACATTTCGTATCTGCTTAATTACAACAGAAATGTACGTAACATAAAACTATCTATTCATAACATGGTGATTGAATTATTTAATCAAATATTATTTATACGTATTCTTTATAGTTTATAAAATAATATTCTGATTCAGGTTGATGGAAATTTGTAAAGCACAATTTTTAATTTTTGTTATATTTAGTGATGTACGTAAAAAACAATAGCCTAATAAATTATTAACAAATGAAATTTATTTATATTTTACTTTAACCTTTCATTATATATTTTCAAGTATTTACATATATGTAATTATTAATGTTTACAATATACTGATTGATATTTTCAAAATTACAGTGGGTTTATGAAATCTTGTATAATCATTGAGATACATGACACATAGTAATAATTTTAGTATACCCACATCTAATTTATATGATTTAATAAAAAAATTGGATTTTTTAATATAATATAATAATATAAGAAGTTTTTCAGTAGAAATAAATATATGTTTGCGACGAGATAAGATTATTAATTAATAATAAATCGCTATTTACTCAAGTACTCTATAATAATAGCCTTAAAATTTTGTTTTTCATCTTTTCTTAAACAATATATATATATATATATATATATATATACATAATTCGTTAATTTATGGTATCGTTTTAGAATGTTTTTAATTTTAATATTTTATTTTGTATATTAATTTTTCTTTCCTAAGTTTTACATTACATACAAAATATTCTCAAAGATCAATCTTGAACTATATGAATACATTTTTCACAAAATAGGTTAATGAATATTACATACAATATCGAATAGTCAATACAAACTATTATCGTTCTTAAAATATATAAATAATTATAAAATTACAAAAATGTTTTTAAACTTTTTTTAATTAAGTGGAAAAATACTTCTTTTGAAATTAAATTATAACTTTTTAAAAATCTTGTTATTTTACAATTTGCAAAAAAATTTAAGTTAAATATATGCATTAAATATATTTTGACTAAAGTAACAGTTTCAAATAAAATGTTCATTAGCATTAAATTTAAGTTAGTCAAGTCATTTTCACTTTATATTATGGGCAAAGAATATCTTATCTTTTCAATGATTTGCTAAGTAATATTTATTATCTTTATGGTGCGACTGCAATTTATCGAACATAGTAGTAAATATAGCAACGTACTTTAATTATTTCGAAAGTAAGTATAAGTGTGCACGAGTGTTATTATTTCAATTATAAGATAAATTTTCTAATGAAAAAAAACTTTTGCTGAACTAGTTCAAAGTTTTTTAAATGCACCCAATCAAATTCTAATTATATTATGGAATTATTACTTCAAAGTAAAATAAGACGACAGAGGAAATTGTGAATTAATTAAATTGAAAATGATATATGTACAACCGTTTACAACAAAGATCGGCAACACATTAAGTCGATGACTCATCTATTGTATCCTTAAGTTAAGAGATATAAGACTACTATTCAGCATGTTGTTTTTTTTTTGTTTTGCATTCCAAGAAAATCATTACTTATGTGAATTATATATTTCATAATAAATACTATTGCATGCCATGTCATGTATGAAAACATCGACTAG